ATGACAGAGAGCATGATACAGTAACTTTCTCTGGAAGTATTAAGGAATGACTATCATGATAAGTGACACTAGAACTGCGCCTTGAAAGGCAATTACCATGATAAAATTGATGGAGTCTTGCTTGCATTGAATGAGATATCTAGTCAAGGGATGAAGAGAACTCAGGCCACAAAGCATGATGGGTAAACATGCATAGGGATTCCCAAACACAGGCATCTTTAGTTGAAAGGATGGAAAAAAAGCTGCAGATGGCACATGCCACTCATCACGAGGAGCTGCTGGTAAGCTTTTTCCTGAAGTTTCTCAATATTTCAATCATTTCTGACACTGCCACTGAGCCACATGCCCTTGACTTGCGAATACTACCATTCACCCTTCCAGGCACCCTGGACATGTGGAAGATCTATCATGTGGCTCCTAGTAGGGAGCACCCTCTCTTCCTTTCATGAAGTCCCCTGCCAGCTCCACCTCTAACACAGACCCAGTCTTACCTGAGCTGCTACGGTAGCTATAGTAGCAATTGAAGTTGCTCTTCTTCCTTTGAGGGGAGTCCAGAGAAATTTGGATATACCCATTTACATTTTCTGTTGTGACATAGTGATATACTTCATAGCCTGGGATTAGCACCTCCTCTTCCCAAGGGTAGTAGGAAAACTTTTTGATATAAACCCCCAAACAGGTTTTGATGATAAACAATGTCCCCTTTCCATTGAAAAATGCTGGAGAAAGAGCTATATACTTAGATAAAGATGAAGAACTGAACTGCCCGAATCGCACAGAGCCCATCCCATTGTAATTAAACTTGGTATCAGAGCCTCGGTAAACTAAACGACAACCCTGGTTACTCAAAAGCTGGACAGCTCTTGTTAAGTAGTAATGGAAGCCCTTGTAGTGGAAGCTACCAGGAATTATTTTGAAGTCTCTAGTATCATTATTAAATTTTTTGTGCATTTCGCCAGTGTAGGCAACTAAAGCTATTCCATGGAAATTATGGAAACCTTTGGGATAGCTGATACTATTTTTGATCTCATTCCATTTTTTCTCTGCTTGTTGCCACTCAACTCTTAATTCCTCATTCATGTTGAAGTCTTCTTGTAACAGCTGGGGGGCCCTTTCCTCCATTTCTTCTACACAGCCCTCATACTGATCATCAAATGCATTGGGAGCCATGTCTAGCATAGCAGGCCCTGCACCATGCAGGCCAGTCACCTGAAAAAAAGAAAGAAGCAGGGTTGTCTGTTACTCACTAAGGTTGCTAAGTTACCAGCATGTGCTGGATGCTGTGGAGCCTGCAGCATGAGATGTCACATACTCCCACCTCACACAAGGCTCAGGAATGGACACAATCTCATTACATCATAAGAAGGGCAGAAAGACAAGGCTGAGATCTCTCATTCCTTTGTGTTTACAGATACTATATTTCATTCTTTATTCAATTAATTTTTTAGTGAGCACACAAAACAAGGGGACTCATGACCTGTTCATATTCATATATCATTGCAGATTGTTCATATTCACATATTCATCCCCCACAAACACAACCCTCTGATATTATCTTTACATTACTTCCTCAAGTTTCATGCTTTCTAACATTGGTTACCACAGATTCATCCCTGAGAACTGTCATATTGCAAAGAGGTGGGCAGGGGAAAGCGAGGTCAACAGGATGTGGGTTGAAAATATTACCTGCTGGGTTAGCCACCAAGCTAGGAAGAACTTGCAAGTTTTTGATGTCATCATCAAGTTCAAAACCA